TGTGTGTGTGTGTGTGTGTGTGTGTGTGTGTGTGTGTGTGTGTGTGTTTGTGTGTGTGCACTGGCTTGACATCGAGATACCACGAGATCATCACCTACATGTGCAGGGCGGCTGTAAAAGACAGAGTTACAGCTGTTTATTGCAGCTTGTGACACTGAGAACAACAATTGATCACAAAACAACTGTGCAGTGCATCAATGTGACTCACTGTCAGTACACAGCAGACCCTTAAATCAGATATCACATCATAAACACAGAAATTGCAGCAACAGTCCGTGTATATAAAAGATCTTGCTGGAATTGTTGTTGTGTAAAAGCAGAAGTACACTTGATGTAAAATAAAAAAGAATCCAAATTAAACTAGAATAAATAAGAACCAAACATGACTAAATAGAAATACTGAATACCCTCAGCAGATTTTTTCCATATATCTCCAAAATTCTATAAGCAATATGCATCTGATTAGTTGCTCCCAGACCTTTTTACTACATTTCACAGCCTTTGGCCGCTTATGGAGTTTGCTCAGATGTTATCATGTGGCCGAGGTCCTGTACTAAGGTCACAGACTGACACCTGAGACCTACTCCACTTACTGAACTAGGCCAAGGGACTTTATTCAAGAAGTTAGCAAGATTATGCAAAAACAACCAGACAGGTTATAAAACTTGGTGGAGGGATGCAGTATGGGTCATGGAAAAATTCATTACGGATTCCGATCAGGGGCAGATGTTTTTCTTCCTTTAACATTGTAAGATAGGATTTGTTTTCAACATTTTCATTTATAATTTAATCATGAGTTGAGCTGCAGATCCCAATAAAAATCAGCACCTATTGAATTTAACTGTGGATTTGTGAGGGGACTGTTGGGCCCTGCTGCTGAGTGTCATTCTAGCTCCCTGTTATATCCGTCCCCAAGGTCAGTAATGAATGGTGATGCTCAAACTGTGCGTTTGGTTCACAGGTACGACGCAGCCTCTCTGCTGCTGGTCTATGGCGTCTACATCGTGGTGCTGTGCTTCGACCTCCGTATCAGCGAGTTTGTCCTGAGGAAGCTGAGCCCCTGCTGCACCTGCCTGGGTAAAGGATCCAGGGAGAAGACAGAGACGCAGCCTCTGATGGGCTGGAGCGACAACACCAGCCTGCGCGTCCACGGTCGCTCCAGGACGGACAGTGGCATCTTCCAGGACGACTCAGGATACTCTCATCTGTCCCTCAGCCTGCACGGCCTCAACGAGATCCCTGAAGGTAAAACACACTTTTTTTTTTGTTTCATAAAGTTGTCCAGTGTTTTGAACATGATGTGACCATGACCCCTTGACCCCACCATGACCACTTGATGACATAAGAGCCTACACAATCACTCATAACCTGTTTTTATCCTAGTGGAGCATAAAGGTGTGTTTGCCGTGCCAGAGAGCGACCTGAAGCGCATCCTCTGGGTTCTGTCCCTGCCCATCATCGCTCTACTTTTCCTCACCGTGCCCGACTGCAGGAGGAGGTTCTGGAAGCGATGGTACATTGTAACCTTCATCATGTCGGCGGTGTGGATCTCAGGTTTCACGTACATACTGGTGTGGATGGTCACTGTGGTCGGTGAGAAACTCTACATTTCAGTCTTTGCAGTTAGTGTAAACCAGCACATCACTCACGGGCCTTTGTGGATCACAAGGAACTTGTGAGAAAAATGTTGGATTTGCAGAGTAGAATCACATGTTGGTCTGCTGGCTAATTCCTGAGATGCCATTGTCTTGGAAAGTTAAGAAGGGGGGGTAGTTATTGTAGCTCCAGTGGGCCATGTGCTTACCCAGGCAGCAGATTACAGCCTGCTTCACCCTTAAGGAAACAGTCATGTGAGCAGTGGGGTGTATGTGCAGAACTCCCCACAGGCACAGGTCCTGGGACAGCTTCCCCCTCCATCCACAACAGAGACGTAAACTCTACGACTGACCTCAAACCAGGCCCAAAGCACAACTTCATCATGTGACTGTGGTAGTTCTACTGAAGAATAATGAGGTTATTATCCTGTAGTCGTCAGATAGGCTCACATGGACGCAACGTTTAGTCTTATGAAAGAAAGAGCAGGCATGAGACCCACCAGGTACAACTCCAACATACAGTCTGTGTCTGTGGCTCTGAGCTGTACAGCACCAACTCTCCATCCCCACTCTGTGTGAATAAGAGACCACTCATTCAAAACACAGTGGAGCTTCACTGTGGCCTGACATTTCTAACTATGTGGAATGTTTTAGTGCAATGCAGTGGTGGAGGAAATACTCGTGCATCTACGTCAAAGGACAAATACATAAATAAAAATGTACCACTTTTCCACAGTACTTCATTCTTTGTAAGATCCCTCCACTGGTGCCATTACACCTGCTGGGTCAAGTTGACCTCATATTGATTTATGGATTATATTATATGTTAATACTTTTAGGCTAAATTTGAGAACATTTAGTTTAAGTCTCACACATGACAACAGCACAAGATGTGGGAGAAATATTTACTTTACATGTAATTGAACTGCAATGGTGAATAAAATACAACACTGATGAAGATTGTGTTAGGTGGGAAGTGTTCTGCTGGATAATTTTTTTATTTTTAAATCCTGGAAAGAGAATTCAGGAATAATGAATGAACCCTATCGTCACAGTAACAATAAGCAGCTTTTTTTATGCCTGGCTTGATGCTTCTGGATTCGGGGGAAACTGATTTGTATTTGTTTGGTTTTATCTCAGGTGAGACCCTCGGCATCCCTGACACAGTTATGGGACTCACTCTGCTCGCTGCTGGAACCAGTATCCCCGACACTGTGGCCAGTGTGATGGTGGCCAGAGAAGGTAAATGTCAATGAATAAAATTGAAGTGGTGAAGTGATTTTTTATATTTCATTGATTTAGAATTTATCCATCAGACATTTAAAATTAAAAAACAATCTTAAATAGTTCTGTGAATAAACACTTGTATCCAATGCTGTAAATATGTTTTCTTTTAAACAGGTAAAGCTGACATGGCCATGTCCAACATAGTGGGCTCTAATGTTTTCGACATGCTCTGTCTGGGGCTGCCTTGGTTCATCAAAACAGTCTTTGTGGACACCAACAACCCTGTAGAAGTCAACAGCACCGGACTCGTCTTTATTTCCTCCACACTCCTCCTTTCAATTGTATTCCTGTTTGTAGCTGTCCATGTGAATGGATGGAAACTGGACTGGAAGTTGGGAGTGGTTTCTCTCTTCTGCTACATCCTCTTTGCCACTCTGGCCATCCTGTATGAGCTGGGGATTATTGGGAATAATCCCATAAGACTGTGCAGTGACTGAGGTCTGACCTTCCCAGGACTCGAGCCATATTTACTGAGGCTCCATTCATCCAAAAAACACAACAAAAATGTTAAGCCTCTAAATCTTCAGATGTCAAAAGAAGGAGGCGTGGCTCCACTCACATAGTTACAGATACTGAGCCGTGGCAGACATGTGCTGGTCACATCTCAGGCAGAGGATGATCTCTGTAAGCAGTTTGTTTCACAAATGTACCAAAGATCATTTTCTTGTGTGTGCTTGCTCCGATCCAGAGCAGAATGTTATCATACGATGAAAACTTGTTATGAAGTTCTGAGATGTCTTCCGTCTGACTCAAGGCCCATAAATGAGAGATGTGCTATTTCAAGAAGTGACTGCCAGATTCAAAACTGTGAAGTCATTGTTAGCAAATAAAAAGGTGTCAACAGGACTCATTCGACCTTGTCCTACTTTTTAAGTGGGTGAGTGAATTACAGCAAAAGAGGCATCATCTACAATGTTCTGATAAGCTTTTATGAGCCTTGTCGCCTGCAACGAAGAGTGGAGGAACGAGCAATAAATGGTAAAAAAACAAACAAAAAAACTTTCCGCTTGTCTTCGTTTACCTAAAGCAGAAACACTAACTTTTTATCAGTTGTTTATAATTAACTCTGTGAAGCTTACATGAACTTCAGACACTGACAATGATGCCAACGATAAAAGGTAACAATCCGTTCTGCCAGAAACAGAACTACTGCTAACCTTCAAGCTCTGGGAATTAAAATATCTGAGGAATTTTAACTTAGTGATGGATCTGATAATCAGTACACTCTGTTCCCACTGTATTCCAAGAAATGCTTTTGTAATGAATGTAGAATTTCCCAACTTTCTTAGGGGCCACTGTGTGGCAGTGTTGAGCAATAAGAGAGTTAACACCCTGGGCCTGTTTGACACTGTGAAGAACTTTGATCTCAGGAGATATAACAACGAACAGACATAAAAATTAAAAAGTTTATTCGTTCAAACAAACTGCCTGACAAATTAAAAAGGGTTTACAAAACAAAACTGCTATAGTGTATATATAAACAAAAAAAAAAACATTTGAAACAGTGGACAGCTGGAGATATGAAGTAATTGTGTTTTTAAAACAAAACAAAAGCTCATTGGCGAAAGGGCTGAATGTGGAAGTGTGTTAGAATGACTTCTACAAAAGCTCTAGGCGTTGCGATCGATACGCACATCAACCTCTCGGCCATTGATCTTGGTTCCATTCATCATTCTGCAGGCCTTGTCGGCGCTCTCTGCCGAGTCGAATCTCACCGTTCCACAGCCCTTTGACTTCCCGTTCTCCATCTTGATCTCAGCGAACATCACCTGGCCTGCACAACACAACAAAGAGCAATGAATTCATCTCGAAGACACAATATCTCACAAAGTGTAGATTAAAGGCCGACATCAATGTCAAAGGAAAATCTTCTGTTCGAGTGCTATAAGTAATATTTAAGTTTTTGCATCAGTAGTGAAAATGTGATTATTAGTGAGGAAAAGACTTACCACAGTGACTGAACTTCTCTTTCAGCTTTTGCCATGTAAGATCATAGGACAGCTGCAACAGAATTATATTTTTTGAATTCTGTAATTTACTTATTTTAATACAGGCAAAACATAAATTGTGTCAATGCACTAAAAAAATAAAATGTATCAATGACGTGGTCATTAAGCAGCAGAAGGGTTGTGGTTATTAACCACCTCTAGGACTCTCCACATTGTTTACTCCCTGTACTAACTAAGGTCTCACATGTCTAACTTACATTTCGCACAAAGATCTGACAGCCTGCTTTGGACCCAGAGCCTCTGTCAGACATGCCCCCTCCGCCCATGTGGCTCGGCCCCCCGCCTCCATAGCCACCAAAGCCACGGTTCATGTCCATTCCTGACATGCCCATACGGTCAAAGCCAGAGCCCATACGGTCCATTGACATGTTGCCCATTCCACCACCTGCAATCAGCACACGCACACACAATGAGAAACTAATGTTCAGCACATTCTAACAGAGCAGCATAAACAGGTTGCCGCACGGTTCTCGTGTAAAAGCTTATCTCACATTTATACATTTTTAAGACAAAACCTACAACAAACTGGCCCAGTTAAATATTATGATACCTTCAACCATTACATAGCTTTTCATTAATTATGTCCAATAACGTGACATTGAAGTGATGTTGCAAAACTGTGCTGACATTCCATTCCTTCAAAGCATTGGCTGTTACAGTGAGTACAATGACACCGTGACATTGTTTATACACGAGGTGCAAGACTTTGGACCAGTTTGTTCTATTAGTCACCAAACAAACTTCACATGAATGAAAGCGATTATACAAATTATCTTGATAACACAAAATGCAGTTTCACTTACATGTATTCCATTTTGTGTCAAACTGTGTAAATAATAAGGAATGATAATAAAATATGCAGAGAAGAAATTCAATAAAATAAAATGGGTGTTTTTTTTAGTTTCTGTACAATGATATATACTTTTTGTTCTTATGAATTTACTTAGTAAAGCCTTGTTATTGCTCTGCTGTATGTATGTGTGGGGGGACCCAAGATTAGTTTCACCAATTGAGTGTCCAACCAAATGTGAAATATCACCGTGACCTTGACAAATGAAAGTAAATCAATAGAGGTAAAACGTGCTCACTGTATATAATCAATACAAGATGCAAATGACTTTAGGGGTTTCCGGATTAATTAATCTTGGCCCAAACAACATGCACATTAAATGTATTTGCTCTGGTTGGGTGCCCAAGCTAATCAATATTATATAAAAGTGAAATGTTACATAACTTGTAAGTGGATACACTGGTGGTAATGGTTCAAAATTTTTCTGTTCTTCATAATTCAACAGCTGTTGATTTCATAAAATACGTCCTTGGTAAATAGTCCTTCAGTTGGCCACGATGTCAAACATAACTCAGAGCTCTCAATGTAGATCACTATTCAACAAGTCACACTGTGTGCTCACAGGCCTCATGTTTGGAAACACTTGAGCAAGGCCAGTACTTGTTCTGGGGTCATCTTATTGAAAGACAGTCTTTCTAAACACTACACTTCTTATTATGCATTGCCCATTCACAGCGCTGATGAAGTTTAACCACCTCATAGTAAACTAATGTTCATTCCTCCTTTAACATGATTTGTGGTGTAGCTGTCAAAGGACTATAAATGATACAGGCTAATAACTTTCAAATGTCAACAGTAGTAAAGAGGTCTGTGGCTCTGCTAGAGAACCTGTATATATGATATAAAACAGATTTAGAAAAACTATGGAGGGAGTATCTCATTTACCTAATCCAGTTCCCATGTGTCCCATGCCACCACTGCCCATGCCTCCTCCAAAACCTCCACCTTAAAGTGAGAACGCAAGTTGGTGCAGATAATATTTTAACGATAACACAACAATGTCACAAAATAAGAAGTCAACTGTAAAATAGAACGGCAAACAAAAACAAATCCTAACCCTAAAACACATCATTACTCAAACCAAACTGCACAGTGGAACTTGCATAACTTCCTTTGTTTAAGTTTGAAAGGAATTGAGGTGACTCTGTATTAAAAGCTTTACTTACCCATTCCTCCAAAAGAATCCCCAAACCCTCGATTCACTGGCATGTCACTGTGGCTGAAGTCTCGATCCATTCCACCCATCCCAGATCGGTACATATCTACAAAGAATCAAACAACAAAAAAATCAGCATTAGACAGAAAGTTACCACACCATAGTGCATCTCTGTGTCAACAGTGTAACCTCGGACTAAACCACGTCTGTGCCCAGCAGAAGCAAACACGTGGAGTTACCTCCCATCCTGCCAACTGGAGCCATGTCTCTCGCTCCAAAGCCGCCCATGTTGCCCATATTATCCATGCCCCCAAAGCCCCCGCCACCACTCATTCCTGAGAGAAGAAGCACCACGTTTCAACTTCACCCTCTCCGTCAATCCACAAAAACAAACACAGACCAGTCGTGCCAAGGAAAACTCATAATGGGCAATAGACTCACCTCCTCCGATTCTGTTCATCCCCCCATAACCTGAAGTGTCCATACCTATGACAGAAAAAGTCAGTCAGGACATACCAACATACGTTTATCCATTAACATCCTTTAGTTGTGTATGGAAATGTGCTGTGTGTAGTCTGATAATCAAACACTGTGCAGAGGTGCTTTTAGGCACAATGACAGTATCAGTCCTGGCTTTCAGCTCTGCTCATATCTCATTAACACAGATTGTCAATGCTGCAGGGTCAGAGGAAGGGCCACATAAATGTCAGTAAAGGGATGATGGTTCGTTTCAGATTGATGTTGTTGCGATATTCGGCAATGTGTGTGTAGACTTAATTTGCAGCCTGTAGTGTACATTTACCTAAACATAACTAAAAATACTTGAGGTCACTCACCTCCAGGCCCCATGGAGCCCATGCCTTCTCTGCCACTCATGCGGGTGGCATTTATTGGCTGCCCACCTGGCCCCAGTCCCATGCCAATACCACCTAGACCCCCTACACACAAAATACACAGTGAAAGGTTTGAGCTGTGTAATGTATGAGTGGATAGTAGAGTGGATTACATACTAGAGACATCTTTTGTGATATGCTGTTGAAAAATTCTGGGCACTTAAGACAAAACATGATTATTATCAGCAAGGCACTCACGAATGGAGGAAGTAAAGCTTACAGCATATTTTAAGCCGTCGGGTAGAACAGGTGTTATTTATTCACTCGTGTGGCATGCTATTAAATTTATGGGATATTTCCACATCTTATTTTGGTGTGCCGAGTTCATTTCAGTGCAGACATCAGACCTCCGGCCATTAACAAAGCTACAACTCAATCTGACTGGCAGGTCTATTATGAGCTTCCACGAGAAAACAACTATTACTACAGTTATTCATATTTTCTGATATCATTTTCTGTCTTTGTTGATTAAATAATGTCCGTAAAAACTGCTCAATCACTGTATGAAGCAACATTTTATACAATTATAAATAGCCCTATGAATATATAGTGTGGAGACTTGTCCCTCAAATAAGTTTGTTTAATATTTAACTGCAATTGCAACCATTTACTTTTATTATGTCTTTATGTGTCAAGCAGTAAGCAGATAACAGAGGGCAACAACAGGACAATAAGTGTAACCGACTTTGTTTTTAATTTTACTAGATTTCCGCTTCGAGACCAAACCTGTGTTTTTCGGATATGACTGAAACATCTATAAAATGTTATCAACATGTGTCATTTGTTTCCAGATTATGCCTCTTACACTGACAACATCAACGTTCAATTCACTGAGATTATTTCTAGGGATCTGATTCTGTAATCTGACAGTTTGACAGCAGATTACTCACTTGGTAATTGAGGTGATTTTTCGACTTGACAGAAATCATCAGGGGGGAGAGATTTTTCATCCTGTAGTAATCAAAGCAAATGTTTAGATTCTTTATATTTTCTGTACAAGTTATGAAAAGTTAAATAACAAAAAGTAACATACCATTTTGACGTGCATCTGTCTATCAAAAAGCATCTGTCCATTGAACATGGCTGAGTTCAGAGTCAAGGAGAAGGTCACAGTGAAATTCTTAAGTATTTGTTTTGTGTGCTCTTTCTAGATTTAATCTCTTGGTGTTTGTTTTGAAAGGATACATATGGCCTGCACTGCCTCCAGTGATTGCTCAAAAGTCACTGTTCCCATCCCGCGGCTCTTTCCATCTTTATCCTCCTTTACATCTGCTCGTTTCACTACACCTGCCATGCAAAACACCTCCTTCAACTTCTTCCAGCCCACCTTGAAATCCAGCTGTGAAAAAAAAAACAAAGACCATAAATTTCATTTAAGATGAAAAATCATGAGGTTATAGTTAAAAGTTGTCGATTAGCATCCTCACGTTGGCCACAAACACTGTGGTGCCCAGCCGCCCGGCCTGCAGCCCATGGATGACCTCAGGTGGGATGTTGGGGTTGTTGGCGATGGACGGTGGGACATTCATCCCACCGGGCCCCATGTCCTGTCCACGACTTCCCTGTTGACCTCCCATGCGTTGCAGCACACGCCGGGCATGTTCCCCATCAGGGTCCTATTAAGATAGAAAACAATAAAAGAAAAATGCAGCAATTTACATCTGATTTGAGATAATATGGCAAATGCCTGTGGTACATTCTGTGTAAGTACATTACTTTCAATTTAGTACTTTTGTACTATTGGGTTTGCACTACTCTGATCCCATCCACAATGTGCCTTTAGACTGCATACTATGTTTTAATATGTGTGTACTTATTTGTTCTGAATTACTGTGTTTTTTTCAGAAAGGAAAGGTATTTCAATCCTGTTTATGTCCTGTACACATGGCAGAAATGGCAATAAAGTTGACTTTGTAAAGGTTGTATAACTTATAATACACAATTGTATAATTATTTGGTGCTTCTACTGTCTCCAGTACTTTGTTACAAACTTAAATGAGGATCATCATCTGTCAGGAAGTATTTCAGTGTATAATAAGAGGAAAAAAAACAATGTGTTACAAAAATAATATATTGATCTCACTTTGAATTTTGCTATAATCATTCAACTTTGCTTTGCTCCCACCTCCTTGATGTTGAGTGGCCTTCCATTCAGGTCATGCTTATTCATAGTTAATATCGCCTTCTTCACAAACTCCTCATCTTTGAACTCCACCACACTGTTGAATCAGGAAAAAAATTAGTCCATGCAAAAACAAGATAAAATATTTATATATGTTTGTATGAGAAATACGGCCAGTTTCTTACCCACAACCCTAACCAGACAGCATCATAGGAGTCCAGGTAGCAAACCCATCCAAAGTTGAAGGAGTGAACAAATTACAGTTAAAATCAAGACAAAGCACCAGAACATCATATTTAATATATACAGCATGTGTATTTTCCTTTAGTGCATGTTGGCTAATTTCTCCCACTGACTTGAGCCAGCAGTTTTTGGTTGTGTTTGATTTACAAGCTAGAAACAGTAATGTTAACAATTGATATGGTCTTAATAATAAAGAAATGATAATAATTTCAATTTTATTAGTTTTGATAACAAATATCTGGCACTTACAGATATCTATGAACTGCAATTTACCTGAAATATTTTTTGAACTGGACACAAAAACAAGGAAGACAATTTAAAAAGCATTAACATAGTTAGGATTAACTAGTTTTACTACAGGAATAAAAAATTGTGTGGCCCAACTTTACATATATTATATATGTACAATTTTGGCATTTAATAAAAAAAAACACTACAGCATCACGACTGTTATGTTCCTCTGAAGCGAGAGCTGTGCCATAGAACAGAATTGTAAAAGTAAGATTTTGAGACATGAGGGTCAATCAATAAGACAAATCAAACAACCCACATTTCCCTTTGGAAAATGGCCAAACAGACAAACTTTTAAACCAATTGAAATGACAACAACAAAAGCAAAAGTGTACTCTTAAGGTGAGTTCATTAGGCTACTTTTCCAAAATCAACAGGACATCTCCCTTTCAAAGGAATATCAATCATTAGCCATCTATCAGGTTCTAAACACAACCTACAGTATCACCAGTTCAGTAACATAGTGAGACCCAAAGGATCAGAACCTAAAAGAACACTTGATTAATGAGAGCCTGCTGAGGGCATTTAAAACCTCGTGCAGCAAGTTGGCCACATCACTTACCCTTGACTTTCCTTCTGCATCCTTAAAGAGCTCCACGTATGTAACCTCACCAACTACATGAGACATACAAAGGAAAAATACCAAAAGAACAAAGGAATTTAAGTCACCAAGTCTTCAAGTCGCCGTTGGCCTTGGCAATGCCGCTACAGATGGAGATGTCCCATTAATGATCAACAGTCAGCCCAGACCAACATTCCACCAGACAACACCATGCCATTCTGGGCAGTGACTGAGACACCCAAAGGGCCAAGGCCAGAGAGAAACACAGCTACGTTAAACCTGGGAAATTCAAAAGACTTCAACATGATCAGTTTGTCAAAAGATTCCATTCATGGCAGTTGAAAGTTTTACAGCTGCCCTTTGACCTTTCAAGAGGCTTCTTGAAACCCTCATGATTCAGAAAGTAAAACATTGCAGTATATTCATTCATAGAAGATTCACCTTTCAAAAGTTACAACAAAAACATTCAACAATCAATTCTACGACTGGTTTGAGGTTACATTTTGGAGCTGACAATGCCATTTAACAAGTGACAATAGAACTATGTTCATCTCACAGACATATCAGCCCAGGCTAATTTAGAGTCCATCCAAAAGAATTAATTAAAACTCCAATGACCTAATATCACACTATGTTGGTTCCCTTCTTTCTGCACTTAATACATCCAGAGAAAAGCTACAAACTAATTGACTACAGCTACAAACAGAATGCTCTATCTGAAAACAAGCGAAAAGGGTGAAGAACTTCTACTCAGTTGAAGAGATAGAGAGAAGTGGAGACACATCCCATCACCATGGACTTTACCTTTCTCACGCATTAGATCTTTAATTGCCTGCCACTTCATATCATAGGGGATATTGCTGATGAACACCCGGTTCCTATGAGTACCCTTCTTTTCTCCACCACTATGTTTTTCTTTGTAGGGATGATAGCGGTTTCCTCTTCTGCTCCCAGAAGACTTCTCTTTACCATCCTGGTTTTCTTTGGGGGCCTTAGTTTCTTCCCCATCCCTGTTAACGACACAAAGCGGCACGTGAGTGAGCAGCCCATCTCAAAACCATATTTGAAAACCATGAACCATAGTATTTATTAGGCCAACTTATCGCAACACCAGTATTAACGATGGCAACGATACAAGAGAGGTGAAGCAGCAGGCAGCGACAGGAAGTAACGTATTAACTCCACTGTGGAAATCACATGAAATTCTTTACAACACACAGACAACAGCGTCTGCTCTTATCACCACAAACTCTCAAGACATATTCATCAATGTCATCAGCGTATATAGAACCGCTTTTCGCCGGCAGATTTTTTTCAGCTGGGGGAACCCCTGTGTTCTCACATCGGATTCTCCTTATATTCTACGACCTTTAAACTAGGAGGCCAGGCGGAGAAGGTCTGCAGATAATCCAGAGCCTCTCACTCTGACGTTTGGGTTCACACATGCACCTCCTTGGAGATAATACAGGGACTCTGCGGAATTCAGGGCATGTCTGAAAGCAACTCATGGTTCCTTCTGGCATTTGGTTTGAATACAGAATCTTGCTCAACGGCTGCTCTTCAAACTTTGACACCACATCCAATGTTATGTCCATCAACTCTATTCTTGTCATTCACTCGTGTGCTGTGACCCTGTTCCACTGCTGCACAGAGCAAATGCTGAGAGTTAAAAGTTGCAGCTTCTTCATAAGTATTATATTTGATGATATTGTTGTATTTGTTTAACATCCTTCCATACAAAATAAATGGATGTTATTAAGCAGCATAATAAAATCTAAACAGGACTACATTTGTAATCTGAACTTTGTTAGACACACACTGAGACACCTTCACATGAACTACAGACGGACATTACCTTATTCAGACATTGAATAAATCATCTATTGAGACTTTCTAACGTTTACCTAAGCTTTGTACTTTTAAAACATTGTAAAGTTAATTGCATTAAATCAGGACAACTGTCTGCTGTAAACAGAAGAGAAAGGTTTGTGTTCGCTAGCATAGCTTGTTAGGCATTTTCAACGAGCAGTGCGGGGTCAGCAGCTAAATTCACGTCAATGTCATCATAACACAAAGACACGAACAGCTGTGATGAAAACAAAAAGCAGTGCTAACGCTAGCTGTTGTGTGAAATCAAGTGCCACCGAGTTAAGATGTCTAACCAGCTAGTTAAAATCAGTCCAATCCGATGGTTTGAACAGACGCTAGCTAACCTTAGCTAAAGCAAAACACCACCGAGGTTAGCTCAGGAGAATCCTCCAGTGCTTCGTGTTTGTCGAGCAAGAAAGAACCCGCGACAGAAAACACACGGAGCTTTGAAATCACGCTCCTGGTGTCATGTTAGCTGCGAACCTGACGTCCACCACACTGTGGAGGCTTTCTGTCTGACAATAGCTAGCATGCCCCGGACTCCATTTTAGCTAACCCTGCTAACGGCTGCACACACGGGACTCCGCCGGGCTCACTCACGTCTTCACCCCGTTGGGAGTCTCTTCCTGGGACGTCTCGTCGGTTTCGGACGGGACGGACGCGGTGGACTCGTCTTGCTTCGGCTCCTCGTCAAGGGCTGGAACGTCTGCCATGTTGAGGGTTTGCTGGTCGCACATCGACGCAAGATGCCCCCGACGCTACGCAGTTCAAAATGTGCAGAGGAGATCTGCGCCGCTGTCGCGAGACTTGGGAGCTGTCGCTAGGCAGCCCGCGGGAACAGAGCGGAACGGGAACAACTCGACTTCCGGGCGGGATTCACGCGCCAATATAAAAACCGATATCAGGGAGTGAAACCATTCCAATACCGACACGTTGGCCGAGATATATTCAAAGATAATTCTCAATGGTTCCCAAGATGTTGTCAGAAAACCCTTAAAGACTTGTGATTAAGGCTTTTACAGTTACCGTTAATTCAGGATCTGCTCACCACGGTGTCGATGGAGGGGTGGGGGAAGTGTTTGAGTCCACGAAACACTTGTGGAGTTTCAGGGCTAAACAGCGTTGCAGCCAAATCCAATACAGTTGAAGTAACTGGTCACTAAAAAATAACAGGCCTCCATACTGCAGTGGTAACCAGGAGGAGGATATCAGAGGACAGGTTACAAACATGGTGTAAATCATTCCTGTTGTTTCTTTAAGTTTGAAGAAGCTTAATTTCAAAACCATCTCTTCGATTCCACGTAGGACCTGAAATCTAAAGGATGTGCATATGTGTATTTATATGACAAAGCAATACGAGGTGACTCACCCTCTTGTATATTATCAGAGATTATGTCGAGTCATTTACTTCAAAACAGTGTAAATAAATATATTTTAAAAAGTCATAGCTATGAATAAAAATAAAACACAAATACCCTAAATACAAAAAATCTAAACTATTGTTGCCCATAATGTTGCTGCACTGTTCAGTCAGATAAAAGTTTTCATATCTGCACCTTTCGGCAAATATAGACACTGATAGCGATGTGTCTGCAAGACTCACATTAACCGATATTATCGACCAACCGTGATATGAGTCAGGCTTTAGTTTAGTGAACAGTATGGTAATATTTGAAAAGATTGTGCACATAGCTTAGCAGTTGATTTCAGGGGTCAGTTAAGTGAATAAGAGAAGTGACTGTTACTGATTAATGCTTCTGATCGTTGAAAGCCACATCAACATCTCTCCAACGCAGGAAAACAGTTTGATCCATGAGCTCGACCGAACCTGAAGATTTCTACCAGCACCAGTGAGTCCCTGCATACTCTACAATGTTTTTAACCTAATGATTTACTGCAACAGCTATTGTAAAGTGTGTATTAGCTTTATCATTTTACAGTCTCGTTCAAGCAATACCAGTAATACATATAACCTACAATATTGTAGGCAGCAGACCCACAGTGTCAGACCGTAAAAGTCCTGCCTTATTGATTGTAATACAAAGCCAAGCCAGTTCATCATTCCTGAAAATATTGATTGATGCACTTTTACTCCACTGGAGGAATCATTTCATTTTCTTTACACAATACGCTTCAACATTTGTAGAGAACCTGCTCGTCTGTGCAGATGCTTCAACAAAAAGAAGATTACATTGACAAAATTTGAGGTATACAATAAATTGTAATTACATCATCATATGTAAAAAATGTGATTGTGTGCCACTTTGATATTGAGTTTCCACAATAAATTACACCTGAAATATGAATCTCAAGTTAACTTTGCAGCAGTCACAGTGAGGCAGTAAATTCTAAGCAGCAGACCACATTTGTAGCTTTTTATCTTTTTGTAGCTGCCAGACTCGGCCTTTGGATCTGATTACTCACCATCTGTGCCCAGAAGATGTCTTTGCTGTGACTTCCTTGGAAACACTCCAGACTCAAATATCATCTACTTGAGATATAAAATTGTGTTCACAACAAACCAAGCAACAACACTGGACAAAAAGTAACTGTGTCTTTTTTTCAAGCAACAACTAAGTCAAATTGCAAAACCCACAAGCGATGACGATAATAATTCAGTGTTTATTTATAGTGTGAATACAACAAAATAGCACAATTTAAACCTGGTAGTAAATTTGCGTGTGTGATATGGCTATTGCTATAGCTGTCTGAAGACCTTGAGTTTATCTCTGACCACATTAGGAAATGCATAATATGACACTGTGGTGTGATATGGAGTTCATTAACATTACAGGGTGTATTGTGATAGCAGTTCATGGAATTTTTTACAGTTTTACATATCAGTTTTACTTATTATCTGTTGTCTGACAGATAAAAGTCTAATAATCTTTATCCTTATGTACTAAGGACAATGTCAATCCTAATATTCTCTATGCAATACCTTCAGATTGTCTCAGGAGTCAAAGCAGTCCAAAGCATACGAGCACACCCTCACGCATAAGTAAAAACACATTTGCATGTGCCAACTATTGAAACGTGTTATAAAGTTGATTCAGCAAATGTTAATTTTCACATCTGACAGTCAATTCACTGTAATGGATTCAAAACATAATGAAATGCAATTCACACTGTCTGTAACTCGACCTCATCACTAATGGCCACACGCTTCTGTGCTATGACACGATAGTTTTCCATTTCGACCTTGTCTTTTAAATTGACGTGAGGGCAATGCCAGAAAGTGAAAACAATATCGTTTTCTATAGTATGTGCCATCTCCTCATCTAATTTAAGAACTGCCCTTGAACTACAAGTGAAATAAAACTGTATTTTTGAGTAGCTGGCACAGTTGTGCCAAATGACCTTAGGTATTTTACAATTCAGCAAGACACATGACACAGGAAAAAGGGACATTTAAAAAAATACGACATCACCTTGGAGTGAAAATAAATAAGAGGGAGATGATTCACCTTTGTGGAAAGTTTATCAGGAATGTCTCAGCTGTTAACAAGTGAAAAAGAGCCTTGAATTATTGCACATCCCACACCAGTGATGACCATCGCCCTCATGGCATGTTTTTCTATCCTGATCCGACTCACTGCACCACTCTGACAAAAAAAACATCGCTGAAGTAATTTGCACTCCAGAATATATGCCCAGAATCTTCACTGCTGCATTCTGTCACGGCCTGCAATCAGATGACTCTGATTGTTTTCCTGTACAATATTGCTTCTAATTCACTTCAGTCTAATCTATTTAAATATCTGTGTCTTCTCCTCCAGCCTGTGCAGGGCGCTTGCATCTGTAAGCCTGTAAACAGATGAGCTAATTCAATTTGACCACAGCAAACTGCACCAATTAAAAACACTACACCACCAAAAGCAGGAGGACAGTGCTGCGCTGGACCAAAAATACCTTTGCAGCAGCATTTACTGGCCGGGAGCAGTGAGAGGCAGCATTTCTCCTGCTGGCCAAGCCATGATATTCCTGTCACATTTGTGTGGAGTCATTTTGAGAAGAGCCAAATAAAGCCAGGGAGGGGGAGAATGAAGAGGGGAGGAAAAAGAAGAAGAGGGCGAATCGCTTATTTTTGCTGCTGCATCTGTCGTGGTGCTGCTGAGGGGGAATGTTATGAATGAGTGAGGCAGCAGAGCAGCTGAGTGAGACTAACAAGTGGTTGCCATGCAGCAGGAGCAAGCGTGCGTGCTTCTGGAGGGAGAGACAGAGAAACAGAATGATAATGAGTAGGAGGCAGCAAGTGAAGGGAGCATGAGGAGAGGAGATGTATCTCAGAGAAGGGAGACATATCATAGCTGGATCCAGCCTCTCCCTCGCTTCCCCAGTTCTCTCTCTTTATCTCGAGCTTCTTGTTTAGATAAGGGGTTAGCTGGACACGTCCGGTATGCAATGGCAATCGGTGAAATAATGGATATATGTCTGGGGGCTCCAAGACGGGGGAGTTGCTCGCAAGGAACAGCAGCAACAGGTCTGTAAGGATGGAACGATAATGACGGTGAGACGCTTGCATTTTCTGTCTCACACATCCATGCCAGGGAATCTGTCATTGCAGTCTCTCCTGTTTCTTTCACCCTATGTTACCCCCTCTCTCCCCTGTCTCTCTCTTCCTCTATCTCACCATGCACACTTTGTGCAGTGTCCTCCTCATCCTTCCACTTCCTTCTTCCTCATCTGACATCTCTCTGTTCAATCCCCAGTCTGTATGTGCCCCCCCCCCCCTCCCTTCCTCTCACTTGAGCCACCTGCTGCTTGTGTTCATGTGAAGGATCTTGGGTGGATAAAGAATGACAGGGGCAGATCTCCACTTGTGTGACCGCACCAATTTTTTGATTATGTTTTGTCAATCTCCGTGGCTTTCTTGTGTAATGGAATTACACTGTCTGGCAGGCATCTGCTCACACGCAACAGGTAGAGATCCCTCTCCTCTAAAGCAAACATGCATCACATGTGTGTGAGGTGTGACGTTTTTCATTGATACCTGCTACTGCTTTGCCTTTGTTTAACAGCTGGCTATGCACTGCGACACAATGTAATTCCAAGCAGACTTAAAGGAATGCAGTCATGGCATCAGCTCGTATTCCTGAACCTGTTTTCCTGCAGTCTCTCTCACTCCTCTGCTCATGTTTTCTTTTTGTACATTTTTTTTTGCATCATTTTTCAGAGGGGGGGAGTGAGAGCGAGAGAGAGATAGATAGAGAGAGAGAGAGAGAGAGAGAGAGAGAGAGAGAGAGATCGAAGTCTCTGGACATCTGTTTGATACCACACTCAAAAGAGGCTATTTATAGATACCTGTAACCCTGCTTATTTAACTGTGTGTATTTCCTTTCACACATCCGCACCTTTATTTCTCTCAGCGTGTGCATGAAGTGTGATAATATTTACATGGGATGATTAGACGGATCCTCTCTGCACAAGAGACTAGATACAGCACTAATCTGAAGCCGTCATGTAATCTCTGCCCAGGTAACATGCAGGCTCCTAAACGCCTGACCCTAACGGAGGAAAGATGAGGCGTCTAGATGTTGGTTTACCATGTTTAGCGTCCACTACAACCACTCCCTTGCTGCCATGAGCGGAAACGACATGATGGCGCACTCCCTGACTCTGGAGCAGAAGACAGCGTTTGCCTTCGTGGGGATGCTCCTGGTGTTCCTGGGGCTGCTGATAGTCAGATGTTTCAGGATCCTGCTGGACCCCTACAGCAGCATGCCCTCCTCCAACTGGGCCGACGGCATCGAGGGGCTGGAGAAAGGGACGTTTGAGTACGCCCTCACTTAACACAGGGACACACATCCACAGATGTCCATCACGAACAGAAATGCCTATAGACACACATATGCATACGCGTGGACACAAATAGCGCTTGCTTGCACACATGCAAACACACATAAGCCGCAGCCCCACAAAACCTTCACTCCTGACACCGACGCACCATTAAGACATCTCTCTGTGACAGACTGAAGCTGTGTGTGTTGTTCAATGTGTGTGCGTTTGTTAGTTCAGAGCCTGTGTGTGAGTCTCTCGACTGTGTGTGGCTACATGTCTGTTGTGTGTGTGTCTGACCAAGTGTGCGACAGATGCTGTGACATATTCTCTGCCTTTCTGCCAGGGTGGTGTGCATTTCAGATCATGGATTTACACAGAAATGGCTGGAGGCCCCTTTAACCCATGCCCACAAGATGAATGTCTGTAGATCAGAGGTGGATGTGGAGGTGGATGTGGAGGTGGATGCTTGTGGGTGGGGATGGAGTGTCATGGGTGCAGTGGGATTATTCAGACACAGTGTGAAGACTCAGGGACATGTGAACTCATCATGGGAAGCAGAGCGGTTCCACCTCTGCACAGCAAAGCTCTTCTGCACAAGATTGTATACTGTACGGTTGGATACAGGGTATTATGTTCAATTTCCTGCTTTGTGGACTAATCAAATCCAATCTGTTGGTGATCCAAAGGGATGCTGATGCTGCTGTGTGTCTACAGATTGGTCCTTTCCGTGGTGTCTTGTTTTTTGAAGTAATGCAGCGAAAAGGCAACGGAACAAACTGTGATTTACGTTACGGCGTTACAGCGTCTAAATGATGCAAAAGCAACTCTGTTAGAGTTTGTACTGCTGCTGGTTTTGAATGATAAACTGTATGTTGCCAAAATTACATGTTTGAGTGAAAGAAAAAAATTGTTTACTCTTGACAGAACGTCCGCAAAGTTACATGATTACGATGCCGATTAACGGACTGTTGACATTTCCATCCATCAAGCGTTCTGTCTGAAGGTTGGCTGTTGGATGCGGTCAAGCCAAAGAACTTTCGAGGGAAATGAAGACCAGAGACTAGGAGGAACTCTCCCTCTCTTCCAGTGCTGCTAGTTTTCTAATGACAAGGAGAAACTCTCACTTCCTGTCCGCAGAGGAAAAAGGTCACACGGGAAACGGGTGGGATGTATGTCAGCGCCACACGTGGACACCTTCTTCCTCCTACTCTCAGCCATCCTCGCCCATTCACACCTGCTCTCTCCCCCCCACACACGAGGACAGGACTTAACAGAGATTCTGTGATGCAGCAGACTGGTCAAAGTCTTGAGTGTTCCTTTGCTAATTTTCTACAGTCTACGGTTTCTCCTTAGTGCTGTGACTCTGCCTTACTGTGACCTTCAATGGGTTTATGTGCCTTCATCTAGAAACATTAGAGCACCTGTTTATGTGAGTGTGAGTGTGTGTGTGTGTGTGTGCGCGAGCGTGGATGCGTGTGGCATATCATGATGACCGACAGTGCATCTTGTGACCTGTTGCTTGCTCAGCTGGTGGTAGAGATTCCTTGTTGATATAGATTTGATTCAATGATGTGAAATAAATAGAATTTCTTCACTTTAAAACATCGTTAGTTGAATTGTTGCCATTTGGGTCTTGTTGCAATGTGCGGAATATGTGAAGTAAAAAAAATAACATCCAACAAATGGAGAGGAAACCGGAGGGAGAAAAAGAGGTGAACAGACTTTTTAACAATATAGGGGTAGATTCTTATACAGTCTATGTTAATATGCAAGGAGAGAATTGGGCTAATGTTGCAGTAGTGAGAGATACACATCTACTGACAGTCTTGTGTGACAAAGCAGGTCTTGATCTGTAAAGCCTTCCACTCTCAGAGGCCAGGCCAGTGTGCACACCTCCCCACAACGCACATCACTCGTCAGGAATGCAATCATTATTGCACCATTATCTCTGTCACCTGGGTGACATCCTTATCTGAAATCTATTTTAGTGGGGGAAAAATGCTGCCCTTTTCCTCCTCTGCCTAAAGGCCCACTGACTAAAGAGGAAACAAACAACTCTGGGTTATAAATCTATCAAATTTTAACAAATCTTTCTGCTTTGCATTGTAATTTCATATGTCGCTGCAAAGTCATGTTGTTTGCTTTTTTAAAAAGTTTATTGAAAACACATAAAACACCAAGAGACAACGATTTTTGTCTTCGCAAACAAGAGAAAACATTTTTAAGGAAGATTTTCAAAAAGAGCCCATGCACATTTACAGTCACACTGATTATGTCCTTACAGTCTTCTGCATGTAACAGAAAAAATAATGTCCTTGAAAGAAAACAGGACCTGAGTGCTTAATGGATCATTAGAATAGGACTAATGAGTCAGCTAGTGAACCTTAGCTTTGATAATCAATCATTAGTTTATTACTTGTGGTCTTCGGACTTCACAGGCTATGTTCGTGATAAGATGAGAGATATAATAGCCTGTAACCAACACTGTCCTACTAACTCTAAAAGTGTTGTAATCTACAATTAATGCTACTTTCAGCAGAGTCTTTTAAACAAAAAAATTCTCGTGAGGCGATCGGGTCAGTGAAGTTTGGTCATTCTGCATGTTTTAATCATTTTTCTATTTGAGAGGATCTATTTTATGCTTTAGCCGTTATGTAACTTAATTTCTTTTTCATATCATCCACACACAGTTTACAGTGCTGGTGACAAAAGTCAGACCCCTCATGAAAAATCTGAAGCCCGAGCCGAGGCTGCGTTTGAATTTACAGTCGGACTTTACCGTGCTAAGAGGTCGAATTTACTGTGACAGATTTTAATGATTATAAATCTATTATGTTTAATCATTTACCCCTAATAGACTCAAACTTCACTTCACCATGATCTAATTTGCTCACTTCTCATTTCCTTTTTTTCTGTTGCTTAAATGCCGGTTAATATTTTTCAATATAAATTAATTAATTATTGTTATTATTATTATTATTATCATGATACTGATGAATTTTCAGGTCTGTAACAGTTCAGGCCACAGTTTATTTCTGCTTTACAATTAATGCAACTAGCAGGTCGACACTAACTGAACTGGACCAACAGCTGAGATGAGCTGTAGAATAACCCACCGTTTTATGTATTGCACCTTATAATATTTGCAATACTTTTTTTAGGTGTTATACTTTAGGTTTATTGTTATTTTTATATATTTTATTTCATTTTTTATTTTCTATTTATAATTGTATTTTTTCCTTGTGTGATTTCTAAGCATGGCTAAGGGGGAGCCTGGTACTCAAGCATTTAATTGCCAGCAAGTGCCAAATGTAATTGTTGTGCATATGACAATAAACCCTTGAATCTTGAATCTTGCACCTCTTAAAGATAAAGTGTCAGGGACCCTGCCGGCTGGTATCTGTTCTTTTGTACTTAATCGCCTTTTTTGTCTCACATTGAGGTGAGCAGAGCAAAGTTTGATAAACGCTGCAGAGGGATTTTTTTTCTACCTCCTTTGAGCCCTGTGGACATTAACTAGAGTGCCTTTGCTCTTGTTCTCTGATTGGAACATACACACACAGATCTCCGAGGAGCACCGCGTTCTCTGGTTTTACTCGAGCAGAGCAGACAAAAGTCGAGAAGCCCCAATAATAAGAAGGGATCACCTCAATGTCAAGTGTGAGGCAGTCAGGGTTTCTAATGCAATAAGAAAACTGCAACACAAGAGAAGACCTTCTAAATGTGACACCGAGCTGAGGCTTAGTATCACTGATACCAATTAAAATGACAGCGGAAGAGGAGCACTGCAGTGCAAGAGTCATTATATTCCACGAGGAAAATGTTCTCTCCTCACTATGACTCAGTCAGTTTCATTCCTACAGAAAACAATATGTTTCAACTACTGTTCGCTGAGTGTTGCGTCCTTTCAGTTGCACATAAAAACATGTGCTGGAGTATTTTCCTCAGCCTGCAACACCGCCAAGGTCAGATTTCAAGTCATTAGTGACTTTCGCTGTGCGCATAAATCACTGTGGTGTATCAGTAATAAGGAAGTTTACCTGTTAAGAGGTCTTTTAGAGGCAATTTAAAAGTCATGTGGCTTTAGAGAAGTGCCTCCAGCGTGTTCCTGTAATTCATGGTCTCATATTAACTCCGATTTTCCTCATGAATATGATCGTTTCTTCTCCAGCCAGCTCCCCCACTTAACACTTTGTAGAGAAGAAACTGATGAGTGATAACATTTATTGAATCAGTTATATTACAGTTACTGGCCCAATATCTTGGTTGCTGTAAGATTTATTTCCATTTTGTTATCACACCACTTCTATTAATTATATCCTATTGCTCATATCTGTGATGGAATTATTAGCTTAGCCTCTTTTTGCGCCACACGTCTTTAAGGGTCTTTATGACATGGAACTTTTCCTGCTCAGTTATATGATCTTTTTGAGTGGGAACTTCCACATGGAAGTTTTCCAGTGATTCACCCAAAGGGACGATGGCTTCTGAGGGAATCCTTCCCACAACCCCCATAAACCATGCAACCTCAGAACAACATGTGCTGTTGCTCTGCACTTCAGACAATAATATTAGTAATCAATTCCTCAGAACTCCGGCAGTAAGCGCCTTTATCTCTCGTTCGGCGTTTATGACTTGGTTAATCGTTAAGCAATGCCTTTGTGTCCCCTAGGATAGAGCAAGGACATATCTAACACCCCTCGTCCACTTTTCTGAGGGTTGATCCAGGGAATTAGCCAATAGCTGACAGCCAGTGTATGATCCCTGGCATGCAAGGTATAAAGGTAAGGCATTCTGAGACACTGAGAATTTACTCAACAGGAGCTCAGAAGAGAAAAGGTCTAGCCTAGTTTATACAGAGATAAAGAAGGATAACCTCAGCCATTGATGCAGTGTTCTGCTCTTTTAAAACACTGCTGGTTGACTGAAAACTAAAGATCTACATTGCTGTTCTATCCTTAAATCTGTGAAACTCTGATCTCTGATGGAGAGGTTCAAGTCTAACGGAGGGGAGCATGTGAACCCCGCGTATGATTCCAACCTGGATGAGCCACCTGTCTATCAGGACCCCAACTTCTCCAACGGGGAACAACGGACGGTGCGGCCCTCGGTGGTCAGTGCCTTTGGTCACGACACTTTGGACCGAGTGCCCAACATTGACTTCTATCGCAATGCAGGCAGTGTCAGCGGTCACCGTGCCGTGCGGCCATCCCTGCAGGAGCTCCATGATGTGTTTCAGAAGGTGAGTGCATGTGTGTCTTTGAGTGAAGCTGGTAAACATGAAGGATACAGATTCTCCTCACCCATTGTCTCGTCTCAACCATTTGTCCCCTCTTCCAAATCGCGTGCAACCATTTTCTATTTCAGATATTAGTCCTTCGCCTCCACTGAACATATCTTACACCGGTTTCTCTCCCCGAGTGAACTCAACTCTGAAACTTTGTAACTTCTATTCTACTCTTGAGTTTCAGTCCATCACTCAGGTTCAAGGTTAAAAAAAACCACAAAGAAATTTTACAGTTGTTTAATCATTCAAGCATCATAACCTTCATTGTGTCCACAGTTCAGTCGTTACGTCTTTGCC